AAAACAGTCTTTCCATTATTTTTACTCAACGTGCATATCGGAAAAAAATCGAGGAAGAAGGCCACAGATCACCAGATTTAACCCCCGCGGACTTCTTTTTGTGGGGTTATGTGAGAAGCAGGTCTTACATCAACCAGCCGCAAACCATTGATGAGCTCAAGACAAATTTCGTGCTGAAATCGACGCTATAACAGCCGAGATGCTCGGAAAGATAATGGAAAGCGCAGAAAAAATGGGTCATTTTGTAATTGCTAATAACGGTAGCCACTTGATTGTTATTGTTTTCAAAAACAAGTCCGAAAAAATTGTAAGAAACCAAAACGAATAAAAAATACATTGCTTATAGAAATTGGTTATTCCATGTTTACATAAAGACATACAAGATGGAACACCCTGTATATAAGAGTACGCATTTGAAAAAGTTCCCTGTTTTCTCAGCTTCATTTTTAGAGTTTCCAAGGCTGTATAACTGAACCGTCTCCATCATCGATTCTAAGTTTAACTATTTCTCTTTCGCTCTTTCCGCCTCTCGGTAGTGCCAAAGAAGATGATTCAGAAAATGAATGATGATTTGATAAAACGTTTATAACAAAACTTGGATCTCTTATTCATAAAATTCTTTCTTAGATACCTCAAGCTATGTTTAAAGGCAGCAAGACCGTTAAAATGAATTTTGACCTGAGTCGTCAATTATTTGACATTCCCAAAAAATGTCTCCCGCGTCCGAACGGCTGATGTGAGGAATCTTTATCTTCATATCAGAGAATACACTCGGAGGGGTTGACATTCCCTGTCGACGAGCGCCCGCATAAAGAAATTTTAACTTAATTTTTTATGCTATTTGAATTTTAACATTCATATCTGCATAAATAAAGCATATTTGGTATAATTATTTAATATTATTTTTTAATGTTTCGAAGCTCAAGTAAACATGCAGCTATTTGTCCACTGTGCAGCGCTGAACACCATCAAACCCTAAAAGAGTTTCGCTCTTCGTCCACGTTGATGGCATTGAAGCGAAGTATTCCTTTACAAAATAATACGAAATTCATTAGGCGGAAAGGCACTTGAAAGGCCAGTAAGCCGTGCGAGAATACATCGTGCAGACCAGTTGAAATTCATAACTCCATTCACTGTTTATTTTGTCGCAAGGTCCTTTGCATTCTTTTCTTTCATTATTACTTTTTTTATGTATGTATGTATGTATTTAGTTCTCATTTTCACATTGTGGTTAAGTAAAAATTTGTATTTATAAGCATTTAATTTGTCGTTGGTCAAACACAACCACCTTCACTTAAACACCCCCACACGCAAATTCCACTTCTTACTCACTCAATATGCTTTACACACATACATATGTATGTGCTAGATTGTAATGCAGAAAATATGCGTATGCCGGACATATGGCTACGACATATGCCAAATAAAATTCGGGTTAACACTGTTCTTGGCAATCGCATTTGTTTATGAGATTATTGAATGGGAACAAGGATTTTACCCTTACTGCAATATATACATATGTGTGTGTGAGTATGGATGAGATCTCATCATATTTTACATGCATATGACTAGTTCTCAACCCAGAGGGCGCTATGAATTTTTGATAGCCACAGGCATATATACATATCTACATAAGTCTGCGCAAATTATTTCATTTTTATTTCAATCTTCAGTGTAGGTTTGTTTGCTTTTTGTATTTGATATTTATTTACTTGTTTGCTAAACATTATCTTCTTCTATTTGTTTGCTATCAATTGAGTCTTGCGCTTAATTCAATTGGTTTGTTGTTAAATTAATTTTAATTTATTTAGAGTAGAGAACAGTACTGAACTTTAATCGATTCTGGGGTCACATTTAAATTGTTCATGATATTTATGGAACGTGTGTTTTCCTGAAATTCCCATACAACTTCATTAGAAAGCTAATGAAAATCTTATTGTTAAGAAAAATTTACAATATTAAACTTTTTTAATAAAATAGTAAAAGTAATAATTAAAAAAAAAATTAATTCAAACAAACCTTTATCACAAAAGTGGGTTGAAGGCCAATAGCCTCCGTTGCTAGTTGCCTTAATCTTGTAATGTAATTATTTAAAATTATATTTTAATTAATAAGATAAAAATAAAAAAAATGTCACCGTTATCGTTGCATGATAGATATTGTGATTAAGAAAGCAAAAAAAAAAATTAAAAATCGCAGAATTCATTCACATTAAATTCTTTCTATATAAGAATAGAGAATAAACTGTTCCCACAGGCGCTCAATTATCTAATTGAAAGTTTTTGAGCAATTAAGTTACCAATTCCAACAATATTAGCTTTATCAAAACTCAAGTAAGTAACGCAAAAATAGTAATTAAATGCCAGACAATTTCGTAAAATTATTCAGTAGACCTCTGAAGCATGTTCAGTAATAGAGAAGATGACGTGACAAAGAAGTAACGAGTAAATTTAAAAACGAAGAGACCAGTGGTTAGCAGAGCATTCATACGGAAGGACCTGGTCGAGTCATGGACCGACCAATATACAAAATCTCCAAAAATTGTATATATACGAGGAGACCAACAAAAGCTCTATTAGTCTTTCTTTCAAATTTTAGAACGATCGGTCTAGGTGGAGACGATAGGTCAGACGAAATTCCACCACCAACGCAAACAGACATTCGCCATGTAATTCTCTTTGGGTTTCGGCGTAATTTACAGCCAATAAAAACATTTAGTCAAAGCCAAATTCCATATGGAACGAATGCACCGTTTCTAAAAACTTATTCTAAGTGGTCCCGAAGATTTCAGACCGGTTACTTTCCCATAGAGGACGAGACCCGAGAAGGTTGACCAAAATCTTTCACTAATGACGTCACTGTAGTTCTGGTGAAGTCAAAAATTTACGAAGACCCACGATTGACACAAGAAATCATATGGGATACGTGAAGAAATTTGATCGATGGGTAGCAGGAATTTTAAATGAGGCCCAAAACGAGGTTCGAGTGGATTATGCTAAATTTTTCCTAAACAAATTCGAAAATGGTCAGTCTAGCAACTCTATCTAGTAAAGTCGATCTAGAAATCAAACAGAACTCCATGGTATGAAGCACAACAGGAGCAAGCCCAAACGTAAAATCTAAGCAAAAAAAATTAGCAGCAGAAGTAATAATGTCAGCTTACTTCACCCGATCTAAAATTCCTAATCGTGCTCTGGAAATCTGCTTCAATATCTTAGAAGAAGTGGTGGCGTCGATCCGTTTACACGGGTCTTTTCCAAGATTTGGCACATGGTTGATATCTGGTCAATGGTTGACTTACCCGGCTTAAAGCCACACTGATTAGGTCCAATCAGTTTGTTGACGGTGGGCTTTAGTTTCTCACACAACACGTTTAATAGGGCCTTAGAAGCGATATTAAGGAGGCTTATCTTTTTTATTGATTGGGCTGACCACGCTTAAATTCCGAGCAGTAGTGCCAGTCGAATAGAAAACCGTTCGGTAGTCTGTTGTGATTACAGCTTTTCGACGTCGTACTTTCCTTGTGTTTGCTGGCGGGCGTTCTTCGATACATAGAGGCACATGCGTATCTTCGCCGCAACAAGATATTGATCTGAGTCCATATTAGGACTTCGGAATGTAGGTACATCTAAAGTACTGGATACTTATCTTCCGTCTATCACCACATGATCGTTCTGGTTTTGTCTTTTTCGATCTGGAAACAGCTAAGTAGCTTGTTAAATTTTCTTGTGCTGGAATCTAATATCACACTTCGGGCCCTGGCGTAGTCGATCAGCCTCAACCCATTCAGCGATGTTTCGTTGTGAAGGCTGAATTTTCCAACAGTCGTACCAAAGATACTTTCTTTACCCACCCTGGCATTAAAATCGCCAAACACGATTTTCACGTCGTTTCGGGGGCAGCGCTCGTAAGTATGCTCTAGACGCTCATGAAAGGCATCTTTGGCCAAATAGTCCTTCTCTTCCTTCGGGGTATAGGCACAAATCAACGATATGATGAAAAATTTCGCTTTAATGCGGATTAAGGAGAGACGCTCATCCTCCGAATTGAATGTCAGTACTCGATAACGGAGTCTCTCTTCCACCAACACAATCCAATCCAAAATTTGCGCTCCTTTTTAAGGCCTCTATAGTAAATTTCATAAGAACTTACTCGCTTTCGTCTCGTCCTTGTCTTGGACGGTGGTGATGTCAGCAGTGCTACCTTCCCAATTAATAGGACGGACATTTCAGGTGCTTGCCCTTAAGTCGTGATCCTTAACTCGTTTGCGGGGATTGTCAACAGAGTGGAGATATCTCATCTGACCCCCGCCTGCAACCGCACCTCTGGTGAAGAGACGCTGCAATTAGACTACAGCAAACCCTTAAACCGAATAAGTCCGAGTGGCTCCACTCAAGCTTCCTCTCTTACTAGCCGTGACCCAAGGCTCCACACGGGTTAGTTACCGCATCTCGCAAAAGGGTTGCTCACGTTACCATGGTGAGCGACGTGGACGTAAGAGCAGGAATTGATTATAGCCTCACAAGTACCTCATACGCAGAAGCTTGACTACACCCCATTTCACTCTCTACACCAGATATATTAATTTTTCGGTTCCTCAGCCTACTGAAATAACCAGCTTGGCAAACCCGAATAGTGTGTGGTCAGTAATTTTTTAGAAAACTTTCAGATATTTTGGCAGAGTAGTGTGGAGTCGGTTTTCGAATGCTCTTGCCGCGGGGTTTATATTTCCTTGTGGAAGAATTTAAAAGCTTTTAAGGTTTAAATTTCAGAAACAATATTAGTACAATAACAACAACATCAAACCCACAAATACTGAAATGTATACATTAATGTGTTTTTCTTTGCAGCTTAAATATTCCAACAACTCTTGCCACCAACCTTACCACCACCACGTCATCGTTGATCCAGTCACGTCCCTACTTTCCCGTCGTTAATAGCACCTACAAATCCACAACAACAACGCCAGCAAGCAATAATTTCCAGTGCTGCTTCACAAAATGATGGATCGTATCCCATCATTATCGTTATCAGGCATATCGCTCGCACATCCACTAACGTTATCCACGACCGGACAACAATTACAAAGCCATCTTAGTTCCGCATCGGCGGTCACATCGTCAACTGGCGCAGGTGGACATCATCACCAACATCATCATCATCACCACCATTTGGGTCAATTAGCCGCTGTTGTGCATCAACAGCAGCAGCAACAACTACAACAGCAGCAGCAGCAGCAACAACAACAACATCATCATCAACAAGCTCATCTGCAGGCACATCACAACAATCATCATCTAAGCCATCATCAGCTGTCATTGAATTCAGCGTCCTCGACTAGCCACTCGCCAACGTCTAGTAACTCAGCATCGACGTCGTTACATCATCATCACACCTCGCTGCTGGCAACACATTCCGGCATTCATTCATCACCCACTGCGCTCTCGCATCATCCACACACCAGCAACAACAACCACTCAGCGTCATCATCCACCTCGCTTTCACTGCATCAGTCAGCATCTGCATCATCGTCGGCTGGCTCAGCAGGTTCTGGTAGCTCGGTGGCTTCAGGTGGTGGCGGGGGTGCTGTAGGGGTTTCAAGTTCATCAGCGCATCAATTGCAACACCACAACTCATCAGCGTTGCACAATCAACATCAGCATTCGCTGCACCACACCACACATCATCACGCGCATAGCCACCTAAACGCGCACGCCTCCTCACCTGCTAACGCAACGAATTCAGCTAGTACGGCATCCGTGATGGCCGCCGCCGCCGCTGCACATCTGCACCACAATTCACAGGCCAACTCGCCGATGACGAATCTGCATCAGAATATGGGTGGCCTGATGAATAGCGGCAGCAGTGCCAGGTAATTACGACACTCACATGCAAATATGCCACCTTGATTTTTGTTGGTATTTTATATAAAGCGTTAATTGGAATTTTCGCCATTCATAAGGTCATCCACTTGTGTTTTGGCCATCACTCAAAATGACAAGAGGCGGACGTTGTCATGGTAAGAAACGAGCTGAGGTTAGACAAAGGCTCAACCGGTGCCAAATGTGCTCACCCACACCTACATAAAGATGAAGTTTGTTCATAGACGTGAATAATTACACGAGTTAGTGATAAGGATTGGACTGATACTTTACTCAGTTTCGTTTACAATATTTTACATCGACGATTGATTGCATTCCTAGAGCCGATAGGCGACAATCAATTGTGCACGGCACCTACTCTAAATAACTCATAATTATCTTCACTGAAACCGCTAGTTGGGGTAACCCCTAGAACCTAGAAAGCTTTTTGCCTGTAGTTTCTATCCCACGCCGTAAATCCGACTTGAAAGACTCAGGACTCCCTAAATGATTTTTTTCATAAGACCCTTTTCTGAGAGAATCACTAAGGCAAAAAGGGTTCTATTCGATGGTTATCGAAACGGTGACCAGTATGAGGGATCTGTGTCAACTCAGTCAGTAAGAAATTATTATTTCTATACATACTTCCGGCTATATGTTCCCATCGGCCTAATCTCGGGAACCAGGAAAAAATTTGGGAGAGCGACGAGTGTTTGAACGGGCACTGTAATATCTAGATTGAAAGAATGAGCTACCCCTCGTCTGCTTTGGTATTCTATTTTAGTGTACTATTATTCAAGGTGAGATCTAGTCGAATCAAGAAGGATTTATGAAAAATCTGCTCCAAGTGACCGGGTGCAAGGTGGACGAATAAAGAGGAGCATATTTTGTGCCAACCAAAACTTTCATTAGTAACCAAATTATAGGAAGAGTGATACAAATAAAGTAAATAGTACTAAAGTATCACCCCCGGTAGAAAGTTGGCACTAAGAAATCAGAGTCGAGTTTAGTTGGAATTGTAGAGAACTTCGATTTGAATTCCACTGTACCCTGTAGAAGGCTCCTTTCAAGGCCTTACCTTCACTTATAGTGCACTCAAATCTAGTAAGCTTCGCGGCCGGCAGCGCCGAGCTACTTTTCGAAAAAGATAATTCGCGTGAATTCGATGCTCAGTCCCAAGGCCATTTTTACCTCAGTTGCTTTCTGGGGTGTTTGGGTTTGGCAGACATTATTCAACGTAGTACCATCTTATCTAAGTAGACCTTCTATGACCTAACCTAACTAAATATGTCCTTTCAATTTAACATTTATTCAATGCTTAATCTCATATTATAATTTTTCAAAACTAATTCTTATATTCTCTCTTCACAGCGATGTCTTTTTCAGTCTAATGATACAAAATACAACGAAACGACAAAATGAAGAACACATTAAGCGACCCATGAACGCCTTTATGGTTTGGTCTCGACTACAACGACGAAAAATTGCACAGGATAATCCGAAAATGCATAATTCTGAAATATCGAAACGTTTGGGTGAGTACTCAATTGGTTATTGGAGAAATTTCAAAGAAGCAAAAAAGAATTTAAAAATTATGTTGATGAAACAGAACTGAGCTGTGTTAGGCATTTCCTCATACCTGCACGAAGCTTTAGCAAACAGAATTGGAAATGGGATTCATTTCAGCGCTCAATTGAAAACTTTTGAATTGAAATTATGAAAATTGCACCCGTGTAAGGAGTGCGGAGGGAGGCACGTTCGATTGTGCTTAAAAACAATGCGTAAGGCGCAAAAACGTACACTGGTCCAGTGCACTTAGAATGAAGGATAACAATGAATTCGACAAAGCGCACAAACAATTAGAATCTCTCTCTCTCTCTCTCTCACCGAGCCTCCCCCTCTCTCCGACGCATGTGTTCACATAAATACGAGTGAACACTTATGGCCATAAACAAGTGTTTGCCATGAGAGGGGTTATGAATATTAATCTCATGCCAGACAATCGCGTCTCATTCATTCAATGGATTGCTGAAATATCGCAGCAGCGTAATCATCGTGAATTGAAGTTGATTCAACTCAAATTTAAGCGACTGACCTTGCACCACCGCCAATTGGTATTGTTGTTGACCTTTGTTGGTACCCTCAGCTTAGATGGTCTAATAGATTGCCATGATTACAAACACGAAGCACTGTCAATAATCATATACATACATATGTACATATACACATATGTTGGAAGCGCATATTTCGGCAGACTCTTCAGGCAATGGAAAATAATTCGATGAGCGGTATTTTTTTTTTAAAACGGTACTTCAATAACTTTTTTGTGTTCATTCATACTCGGCTCTAATTTGTATTATATTGTTGATTCCTGACCTTTGGAGGTTATATTTTGGTGTGGGAAAATTGGATTTTATACACAATAGTGGGCGGTCAACGCGAGACAATCGCGAGTAAGGTAGATTGAGTTCGGGTGGAATCGAACAACCAGCATTTAGCTTTTGGTTGGAGTCAATTGAACTGAATGCGATCAGAAGCGACGATAACATGTACTTCATACCTTAGGTTACGTACAATTTTATAGGTAAATAGTAAAAATGAAAGATCCGAGAGAGAGAGCGGACGTGCTCCCAGTGGTTAGCAATACGTACTGCCATGTGAAGCATCAAGGGTTGGAGCCCTGCCTCGATCAACGATCAAAACAAACAAAATAATTCCGTACGCCCTTCGGTAGATAATACCGATCCCTCGTACACATTTCTAATATGAAATAAAAAGCTTGTCATAAAACCCATCCGCCTTTCGGATGCGGCTTAGAAGAAGGAAAAAATTCGTTTTGCTTCGGCGTTCTTTAACTTGGTATCTTGCTAATCTGGCTGTTGTTGTTGTAGCGGTTTTTAAGCTCCGCTTAGGTGTAGAACGGTTCAGTTGGATGTCATCGAGAGAGGAAACGCGCTCTTTCGACGAGTTCGGGAGTTCGGACCAGAGGGAAACGGGGCATGCAAAAAGACTGGTTAGCTTCGAGCGAGCAGGTTGTAGTCTGGGTCAAATTTGGATAAAGTCTGGACAAGTAGTTGTTTAATCTACTACAATATCCATATCTTAGTTGCGTATGTATTACGCAAGGCCTTTTGAACCCGCCTGCAATAGGTAGTGGTTTGACACCGAGAGCGCCATTCACTGGTAAAAAGTGCATGAATGTGTAGACGGACTCTCGGTGAATGGTGTTTGATTCCAATTCGGTGAATCGTCCTATCGAGTGGTCGTATATGGTGCTGAATACAGTCCTTGAGGTCGAGTACTTTCTTTCCGATGTGCCTGGGTGATGATTCAGTTTCTGATGGGTATCGGTTGTGGTATTCCTCATGGCCTAACTCCGTGTGCTAATTTGTTTGGCTACGGTTGGCAGTGTCATTGCGTCGGGAGACCGCCTCCAATTTCTCGCTTTTGTCGACATTTGGTTTCAGTATAGCATTAGCCAGGTGGAAAGCAGCATACTGATCCGCTGCGTATGTGGTGAGTAGCCGTCCGGCGAATCACGAACGTATTGTGTGTCAGATGGGGCGGGACAGTTGATTTAACTTTTATGAGCCGGAGCTAACAAGAATAGGCGAAATTGACTACGTGAATGCCGCAGCATAGTCGACTATTTTCGAAAATGTGAAAAGTGATCGGCAATTAAGGTTCACGTCTAAATAAGCCGTTAGTACAATAGAAAATGAAAGCGAGTGAGTTTCTTTGAATTATTATCTTGATGAATGTGCAACGGTGGGGAGTGTGTAATAGACGACAGTTGAGCTAGTTTTAAGACTGTCTATGACAGTCGTGAGATTCTCCCGCTTTTGTGGAGTGGATAATAGTTGTCCTTTGCTCGAGTTCAATATACATATCGGATATCGGATATTGTCTTAGATTTTTTGGCCTTAGATAAGTGTGTTGATTACATTTTTCCAACCAAATGCGTCCTTAATTTTTTGTGCTGAATGTATTTTGACGCAAAACGCTGAAGCCATTTTTGAATTGTTGGACCTTCCGCTTTATGTGTAAGGATTTTCGTACCTTTTCAATGTAATTCCCACAGCTGAGGCATACTTAGCACAACGGAAGTTTCTGCGTACATGTACGTAGTAGTTTTTGTTTTCGAAATTGATAATATTTCGATACAGACGCAGGAGCTAAGCTTTTTGTGTGTGCGCCTTTTAAGGGAGCTTTCAGCTCTTTTTATCGAGTAAGCTTCCTGAAGAAGTCTCTAATGGGAGTGTGAGATAGGATTATCTAATGTTGGCAAAAAACTGACATCTGATGAGGCGGTTCCCACTGATGTGGCTGTCACCATCGACTGTACCCGTGAGATATCATCTCCACAAGCTAGGTAACGTGGAATCATTAAGTGGCTATCTGGCCTTCAGCCGACTGAAACGTCACATCTTTGACGGGTCTTCCAGCTAATATCTGTGGGCATGCCACCCATAGTTGAGATACACGTGTGAGCACAATGAAGCTGATCCTTAGTTTGAGTGCGGCCGCTTGCGGTCAGTCCTTCAAATTTTATCTTTAATTCGAATTAAGGAAGCCTCAATGGTATAAGTATCCCAAGGAAGAGGATTTTTCTTATATTTTACCGCATTTCAAAACATATGTTCAGAGTTTCATTTTCCTTTGCAAGACTAGATAGCTTAGGTTGAAGTAGTTTCTAGGTCCCAGCTCACTTAAGCCAAGGAACGGGTTCAGAGTGTCCGCAAAGCACTAAACTACTAGTCAAACCCATGTTGATACTGATACACATACACGTTTTAGGTAACTTTTTTGCTTCCGAAATTTCGCTGAAGTCTCTTAAGTGTCGGCCTCAAGTTCTTACTTCTCTCTAAACTTATGAAGAAGTCGCGAAAATATCCATAATGGCGAATATCGTTCACCTTGTCTGTAATGAAGCGATGTGAGATTATCTCCTAAGATCTAAGCCATAACGAATAACTCTCTTATTGAAAGCTTTCAGGCGAAGAGCTTTCCAAGCTCATCCCTATTGTTGAAAGTGGTAGAGCTTGCAAGTTAGCTCGACATCTGAATTAGCAGTATATTATTGTGTTACTATATTTGGAAAGCAGCGCTTAGTCCACAATTCTACCTTTTCTGATTTTTTTATTACACACTCCAGCGCTTTTAAGCTGCCTGGCTTTACTGCCTAAGGCTCGCAAGGTTTTTCTCGACTTAATTGTAATTTCTACAGGGAAATGCGATATTAGCAAATCCTCAATGAATATGCTCGTTTTAGACAATAATATTTTGCTTTAGGTAAAATCCATCGTGTCTACCAAAAGCATTCAGTAATTCATTCAGTAAGATAGAAATTAATAATTCTTAAAAAAATGTAAATTTTATTGAGAAATTCTTGTTGCATTGTAGTGAGGAAAAGAAGGGTAGACCAGCGACAGAAGTGTATGCATGGCAATAATTCGCCTTATCTCTGTTATAGCAAACACCGCTAAGTAGAATAAAACTATATTTTATCTGCGGATATTCACCCAAAACTATTTCAATTAAATTATTTGCATTTCAAATTCATTCAAATTTCAACACCTGTAAAGCACTTCAAACCCCACAGAAATCTATTTAAATTAAGTACGAGTGTCATTGTGAAAATTGACAAACTTATACTATTATCTCTATTATGACAACGGTAAAGCTTTTTTGGCCAATATCCTTGAAGCAGGCGCGCCGAATTCGCTCACTGCAAACACTTAAGCGCATACACTCGTTTGCATATTTAATAAAGTGCAAAGGAAACATCCGGTGACGGTGACTCGGCGCAAAGACACTGACTGAGCCAAAAGCTAAATATTGAGCTGCTTAAGGCTCAGCGCCTATTGTTATGCTAAGAAGTAGCAGATTGTAACTGGTGAAGTTTAGACAGTGATTTGATGAACGCACACTCACAAACTCACAATCGCACGCAACGTCCCGCAGGATGGAGCGCCAGCTAAGGACACGTGCCGTTTACACAATTTCGTTGATGTGTGTGATTGAAATTGAATTATTTTTGCCAAGCTAAGTTAAGCAAGTGGAGTGTTAACTTACATACGCATTTTTCTATGTACTTATACACATATGTTTGTACTATGTGCAGAAGCTGTGCGCGGCATAGTGTATTGGCTGGCGTTGACACGCGCCGTTTATTTTCGATTTTCTGCCAAGACCCACAACTTGAGCCCAATTTTCATTTGCGATGAAGGAGATTAGCTTTACGTAATCATTTAACTATTCTCAACTGGTTAAGTGGATGAGGGAGTGTACTTGATGAGTTGGCTGAATTTGATTTCGATTTTGTTGCCACTACTACACCATTAACTAATGCAACCACGCTTTTTCCCATAAACAAACCACCGTTGCCGACGGCCAACCCAACAACCGCCCGCCCGCCTACCAGACAGTTGAGCGACGGATGATTTCAAATAGTTTATGTATTTGTTGTGTCATTGTTTGACAGCGCGTTAATGTCAGTTTTGACAATTCGCCGGCGGCGTCTGATATGGTGGTG